TCGAAAGGTATAAGGAACTCCACAAGGTCGTCTACAACACACTTGTCGATGCTATTGTAGAGTTTCATACCCTCGTCAGCAGTGGGCCCTTTGTCTGTCAGAATCTTCTTGATCTAAAAATAAAACGGGGGTATAAACATATTCCAATCAAACAAGAGGGGAAATAAAAAGCAAGAACTGTATTAATTTTGAGCCCTCTAGCTTAAAAATTGACCTGTCAAAGTAATAAAAAAAAAAACCCAAACATTACTTTTAATTTTTTTATTTTACTAAGACGTAACTCGTCCAAGTAGAAACCTTAAGGCCAAAATTTTGTCCTTATGGCTCTATCTCTAACCGTTTAGTCGCCAGAGAGCGATATCCACACGAAAATGACCCCAAACCATTTTAACGTTGTTTCTCAGATATTTGACAGTCTCTGGTGGGGCAACTCGTCAAAATAAAATCCTGGGGGTAAATTTTGTGTCTTTTGGAACCAAAGGCCTATCTACGACTCTGCCTTTCGCCCGCCTCGGGTGTCAGCGCCGCAGGCGTAGGTAGATGTATGCCAGGCGCGTCGCAGCGTAAAAGTGTTTCGTGAGATATCGCGAAGCCTGTTACGCGAGACGTGGTCTGGCGTACATCTACCTAGGTACCTGATTCCAGCCTTGTCACATAGCGCCTTTGCTTCCTATTGACGTGCCAATTTTTAAGCTAGAGGACTCAAAATCAATACAGTTCTTGCTTTGTATGATACAAAGCTGCACTAAAAATTTCAGGTAATTAGCTCAAACCGTTCTCGAGTTATTGTGATTACAGACAAACTCACTGACAGACACAAAACTTTTTATTATCACTGGAGTAATAGGCTTCGCTATCACTCAGCCAATCACTGGAGGAACAGACTTCGCTATCGCTCAGCCAATAATATGTACTTACTCGGGAAGCTCCAAATCATCGCCAAAGTCTTGCTGACGCACATATTTTGCCGCCAGTGTGAGGAAGCTATTTAGGTTTTCGTTTAGTTCGAAGTCAGTGTAGGCGTCTTTAATGTCTTCGTCAAAAAGTAGTCTCCTGTGGTTGATTTGCTTCTTCTTTAGTCTCTTGATGTTGTGTTTCCTAGTCTTGTGTCCAGTCTCTTGTGTGGTGTGAAGGTTGTGATATTCCTCGTGCTCAATACGTCGTATAAGTGCTGTGGAAAGAAACGAAGAAAAAATAGTAATCTGGTCAAAGTAAAGTAAGGGGGCGGCATAACCAGTGGAAAGTTTAAAAACCTACTTAAAAATTTCCAAAACCTGGGACGGCTATAGTTGTTGAGCATGGTGTTGAGTTTTCTGTGGAGTGATTCTTGCCCGCTCGTCGTATGGAAGTGACGATTGCGGAGTGAGAACACCTCTGTCTTTTTGCCGTCAATCCATTCTTTTCTGAAGTAGTTCAGGAATACTAGTAGTTTAGTCAGTTCGTCGGGCGTCGCATCTTTCAGGTCAGTTGTCCGTCTTAACGATCATGTCGAATGCTTCCCTAATGTACTTTGCTTCAAGGTGGGGTATGGCTACGAGCATACGTAACAGTTGACTCACTCCCCCTGTCTTATCCCTCATGTGCTGGGCCAGCCCATGCTTTTTCGCCCGTCTGTGCATGGCCTGTGGGAAAAGAACGACAATTATTATGTACCGAGGTATTACAACTACAAAGTACGAAACGAAAGGATACTTAATCGAAGGAAGTGGAAATAGCAGCCCCACGTCTGAATTCTTGGAAATCCCATCTTCTATCCAGCCTGTTTAAAAGCCATGGGCCTAGATGAACTTTCGACACCATGCCCCAAAAGATTAGAAAAGGCTCCATCCCAGACAAACGGAGTTGCCCCCAATATTTTCTTTTCTGGGGAGATGTGGCCACTTTTTCGCAGGAAATTATATTAGGGTGCATGTAATTTAATTTCTTAGATAAAAGTTGCCACAACTCCAATGTTACGCACATATTGCGAACAACCCTGATGGGATCAGATGAATTCTTTTCTACTCTCCCTATGCACGGTGTCGAAAGTTAATTAAGTCGCATAGCTTTTGAACAGGAGCCAAAACGGCAATAATATAATTTTATTCATTACCGTTTCTATCCCTGCCTTCAGTTTTTCAAGGACAGCAGCGTACGCCGTGGCGGTGCCCTTAGTCATCGCGGCGTACGCAACTGGATACATCTGGAAAAGAAAAAGAGGACAAATTAAAATTACATTCTTTCACTAAAAGTAATTGTAAATTCTGCGTCAACCGCGATCTCTACTCCGCCCACTTACTTGGCCATTCGTGTATAACGACACTATGAAGACGTGCCTCGACTTGTTTATGTATTGCCTGATTTTGTATGTATCATCGCCTTATACAACGTCGTCCTTTTGAATCAGTCCAATTAACCTCTTGCTGGCGGAAACAAGAGACTCTTCTCCAGGGGCGCCTACCATCCCCTGGAAAAACTCTTGTGAGTCATCGAGAGTCCTCGCTACAAGATAGAAAAGTTGAGATCAATTACAGGTATTATTTGACTTCGTGGTCCCTGGCGGCATGGCGTCAACATACCCATGTACGCGTTATCCAGGTCGGTGAGGATGGCCTCTGCCTCCTGGACGAAGCGGGGCGAGCGAGGGAGTCTTTTTCCTCTCACTTATTGGACGTGATTTTGGAGGCTTTCCTTGCTGAAGTACTTGCGTACGAATGGGTTTGTGATCCTAAAACAATAGAGGATGTTTAGTCAAATGGCCATCGTAACACCTGGGCGCGCCCGTCAGCACGCACGCACGCATCGGTTAGGCCATTCCAAAAAACTAAAATTGTCGGGGTTCGGGCCACAAGAAATCACAGTTTGTACCAAATGTGGATCAGTTGTAGCGAACATAGTGAAGGAAGAAGAGCCCCGGCCGGCCGAGCGGCCATCCGCGCGTGGCCGGCGCGACCCGGTGCGCCGCTCCGCCGCTGTCTACCGCATGGGGCCCGCGCGTTCTGGGCCGTTGCCGCCCCCATAGTGTTAACAATTATAATTTGAAATTAAGAGCAAATTTAAACAGGAAGGTGTTCAACTTTACGCTAAATACCTTCTACAGTGGAAACGCAAGTGTCAGAGCCCTGTAACGAGCGAGCTGATGATTTGATTCGATATTGCATTTCTCTCTGGGCTAAGAGAAGTAATGTTAATTGTATGCACCCAACGGAGTGTGCAATTCAGTTGATAGCCATGTAGCGTTTATTTGAATATTTGTTTTGCCAGGGCAAGAATGTAAAATATGAGTTGAAATTATGATCGTGAAATATTTGCATCAATGGCCGAAATATCTGAAGAGCTCACTAATAAACTTAGTGTGCAACTGCAAGTTGAACACTTAATTTATCAGTGTTACCTGTTCTCGATCTCCTTCTGGGAGAAGGTCGAGGTCATTCATTGATGGCCACAAAAAATGAGCAAGCTTATGGATTTCCTCGACTTGAATCTTCTCTTCCAAAAGAGTGCGAGCTTTTCCCCTCAGAGCAGCTATTAATGCACTGCCCCCCCTCACAGGGAGCACAATGTAGTTTCAATGCATACTTAGAAGCAACACATTTGGGGAGTGTGGGATACTTGTGCCCTTCTAGTTCCATGGTATGAACGTCGAAAGGTATAAGGAACTCCACAAGGTCGTCTACAACACACTTGTCGATGCTATTGTAGAGTTTCATACCCTCGTCAGCAGTGGGCCCTTTGTCAGAATCTTCCTGATCTAAAAATAAAACGGGGATATAAACATATTCCAATCAAACAAG